AAGGTTGTTCGAGTACGACCAAAGGAACCATGCATCTGGATTTTAAGAGGCAACCCAACGCTCTCAAGCAGCGCCATGATGTCTGTGTTCATCAACAGCAGGATGTCCACAGTCCGCATAGCCCCCCTGATGATGCGCCCCAGGATGCAGATCCAGGCAACCAGCATGGGTTGAAAAGGGATCCCGAGGACAACCAATTCCTGTCACATCAAGTCAGAGAAGACAGAGCAGCCAGTGATGTTGTGGTTCAGTGCAAGATGGAAGCTGCACCGAACTCTGACACTGTTCCAGATCTGACATTGGACAGTCCAGATTTTGGTTTGTTTGAAATGAACACAGGTAATGATGACATTGTAAAGCCTTACTATGTGTATGTCAGTGTAAATGGTTCAAGAGTGAAGATGGAAATAGACACTGGTGCCGCAGTGTCAGTGATATCTGAAAATCTGTATAAGCGCAGATTTAAATCAGTCAAACTTAGTTCAGCAAATTGTGTACTTAAAACGTACAGTCAAGAGTCATTACAGTTGGTGGGTAAATTTGTGGCAAAAGTGAAATGTCGAGACCACTAAGAAACTAGAACTGTTAGTAGTAAAAGGAAGACGCCCTGCTTTGATGGGTAGAGACTGGATTAGCCAGTTGAAGCTAGACTGGTCACAGGTGAACAGAGTGGCTCCAGAAACAGTGGAAGACATTTGTGCTCAGTATGCATCAGTGTTCAACCCTGAGGTAGGCAAGTTGAAAGGTAGCAGAAGCAACGCCAAAGTTCCACAAACCAAGAAATGTTCCATATGCATTAAGAGGAGCTGTTGAAAAGGAACTGACGAAATTGGAGGCAGAAGGAGTTATTTCACCCACTAATTACAGTGAGTGGGCTGCTCCAATAGTGTGCATACCTAAAAAGGATGACAGTGTGAGACTATGTGGAGACTATAAAGTCACCATTAATCCATGGTTAAACGTGGACCAGTATCCACTTCCAAAAACGCAAGATCTATTTGCAAAATTAGCAGGAGGTCAGAAATTTACCAAACTAGACTTATTGCAGGCTTACCAGCAAGTCCAGTTGGAGGACAGCTCTAGGTGCTACCTGACCATCAACACTCACAAAGGGCTGTATCAATACAACAGGTTGCCCTACGGTGTTGCAAGTGCTCCTGCAATTTTCCAGAAAATAATGGATCAAGTACTTCAGGGCATGGATGGTGTTATCTGCTATCTTGATGATATTTTGATAACTGGTAAAGATGCAGAAAGCCACCTGAGTAACTTAAAGGAGGTCCTTAAGAGGCTCCAAAGCTACAACCTTAGGGTAAGGAGAGAAAAATGTGAATTCATGCAAGACAGTGTTTCATATTTAGGACATGTCATTGATGCTACCGGAATTCATCCTATGAAGGAAAGACAACCGCTATTCAGAAGGCTCCAGTTCCAAGAAATGTAACTGAACTTAGGTCATTCTTGGCTCTGTTAAACTACTATGGGAAGTTTATACCAAACTTATCGACTCTGATCCAGCCAATGTCAGCACTGCTACACAAAGATGCAGACTGGAGTTGGTCAGAAAGTTGTCAGAATGCTTTTGAGAATGCCAAGAAGGCTCTTCAATCTGACAAAATTGGTACATTTTGATGCAGAGTTACCACTTATTTTAGCATGCGATGCATCTCCTTATGGAGTTGGTGCTGTAATCAGTCACCAAATGAAAGATGGAAGCGAAAGACCGATTGCATTTGCATCACGAATGCTAACTAAGACTGAACAAAACTACTCACAAATTGAAAAAGAAGCACTTGGTTTAGTGTTTGGTGTTATGAAGTTCCATGACTATCTTTATGGAAGAAAATTTATTTTGGTAACAGACCACAAACCATTGCTAAAAATCTTCGGACCAAAAAACAGGTGTACCAACACTAGCTGCCGCTAGATTGCAAAGGTGGGCTCTAATTCTAGCTGCCTACAAATATGAGATTCAGTACAAAAGATCTGAGCAACACAGTAATGCGGATGCTTTATCAAGGTTACCGATGAAAACAAATGTGGATGTGGTGTCAAACCCTATTTACAAAGTATCTTATCTTGACGAGCTACCTATCACTGCAAAGGAGGTTGCAAAAGAAACAAAGATCCTGTGTTAAAGGTGGTGAAACAGTTGGTGTTAACTGGCTGGCCTAAACATGCACAGGATGAGTTGCTGAAGCCATATTTTCAGAGACGTTTTGAGTTCACTGTTGAAGATGATTGTCTACTGTGGGGATTACGAGTGGTGGTGCCTAAGAAATTAAGGGATCAGTTGATTTCTGAACTACACGAGCATCACTGGGGAATAGTAAAGATGAAATCTCTTGCCAGAAGTTTATTCTGGTGGCCAGCAGTAGATGAGTGCATTGAACAGGAAGTCAGTGAGTGTACTATTTGTCAAAAGCAGCGTAGTATGCCTTGTACAGCACCAGTGCATACCTGGAAGTGGGCTGCCAGCCCGTGGGAGAGAATCCATCTGGACTTTGCAGAGGACCACAAGCAGATGTTTCTGGTAGTTATGGATGCCTATGCTAGATGGCCAGAGATTATTCCCATGCATACTACGACTTCAGTTAAAACCATTGAAACACTGAGGAATTTGTTTGCTGCTTATGGGTTACCAAAAGAAGTTGTTACAGATAACGGTCCTCAGTTTGTTTCACAAGATTTTGAGTTTTTTCTAAAAAAGAATGGGCAGCACATTAAGTCACCTGCTTACCACCCTGCCAGTAATGGACTAGCAGAGCGCTTAGTTCAAAATCTAAAAAAGTCACTAGCCAAGAATCGAGCTGTAGGTGGTTTAACACTTGAGCACTGTGTTGCAAATTTTCTTTTAGGGTATCGAAACACACCCCATACAACCACAGGGAAAACTCCTGCAGAGTTATTCCTAAAAAGACAAGTTAGAACAAGACTGTCACTGATCAGACCCCAGTTTTCTCAGAGGATGCAACAAAGAACGGAACCAATGCTCCCACGTCTTAGAGTGTTCACAGTAGGTCAACCTGTTTTAGTAAAGAATTACAGGGGAGGGGAGAAGTGGTTGAACAGAGTTGTATGATAGATTTTGGGTCCTGTAACTTACAGTGTGGAAGTGAATGAAAAATGTGTTAAAAGACATGTAAATCAGATTCTGGGTGTAAATGGAAATCCAGTTTGTGTTACACAGACAGACTTGTCTACAGGAAACTTTTGGAATGAGGATGTTGATCTTGTTACAACTAAAGGTGTGGATCAACAGGTGGAAGAAAAAACTGTTGGAAGTCCACCAATAGACATGTCATCGCCTACAGTTGAAAGGAACACTCGTCCAGTGAGGAACCGGCGTCCTCCTGACAGACTGAACTTGAAATTACAACTCTAAATGAGAGTTAGAAGAAGTTTCTTGTTTTCAGTTATGTTCATAAAAAAAAAAAAAAATCCTGAAAAATGTATACTTGATTGAGAAGTACTGATTTTACAGGGGAGGAGCTGTGGTGTTCCAGACACAGAAATTAATGAAACTCTGTAGGTGGCGCTCTCGTGGTTTTTGAGAGTCTGGGTAGAGAACCTGTAACTAGAGAAGAAGAAGTAAAGTTCCCGTTTGGAAATAAAATGTTGCTATGTGCTTGTTCCAGTCGTCTGCTTGGACATCATTTATTTTGAACTAGTGTTCCATACACAACATGTTACCACCCCCACGCCACTAGAGGCAGTAGCAGGGCCGAAAAGTTGTGACTAAGGAGCAGATTTAGAAGAACATTGAAAGCTACAGAGTTTGTTAAAAGCTATTGCGCTGAATTAAATGAAAGACAGAAGTTCAAATACACGCTGAGAGTAAAAATCCTTCCTAAAGGTAGTATATATCACAGATTTCAAAAGAATATAAAAACGGGAGGCCGTGGATAATATAGGATATCGCTCCCTTCATTTCTGGAGTGCTATGGTCCCATTTCCAAATAAGGTATGAGACTGACAGTGGTCCGTTCTCGCCCCTTTCTGTTTGCTGCAGTGAGGTCCTTCTCATTAAGTTACATTGTGTTCCATTCAATCTTGTAGGAAAAAAGGCATTCATGCACTTGTTGTTCGATTTGCCATAACTATTTATTGAATTCATTGTCTCCAGCTGGGGTGGCAAGGCTCTCAGTTGGGGTGACAACTGCCACTCCATGCCACCCCAGTAGATTCACCCCTGCTTAAAGTTTTTCTGTTGCAATTGTCTGAAAAATTAGCCAATAACAAAATTTAGGTGACTTACTCAAAGATAATTATGTCAAAAACAATTTTACATAATTTTTTCCCCACATTTGGAGCCAGATGATGAAAACGCTAATTTTTACCACATGTGAAAATTATGTTGCTAACAAAGTAAGATGTATGAAATGGTTCTTACTGTTTTCATTACCATCAGGGGAAAATATTTTTTTTAGTTCTTTTACTTGTTGGAGTTGAAAATATTTCTAAATGTACTGACAACTTTTAGTTTTATTGGAACTTCAAAGAATAGGGTGAATGCACACAAACCCATCAGTATCTATCACATCTACTGATGCTGAAGTAGAACCAATCCACTTTCTGAGTGGAGTTTGGTTTCTCCTCAGACTATTATTTAGTCTGAGGTTTAAGCAAATTTAGCATTGAAAATCTTTATTTGCTCCCAGTTTGTCTATCTGTGTTTTTGATTCTTGCAGGATCCTGACTGTAGTTATCCTCCTAGCTTACATTTCAGCAGAAAGCCAATGTGCTGCCACAGCACTGTTTTACGCTCCTCTCCGGTGACAAATCTACACAAGTGTTCAGCTTGTCTAGATGTTTTTTCTTTTGTTTTCTTGATCATTTTTGTTTATATCTTATAAAACCAGACCACTAACTGTTTTTCTATTGTTAAAATCATATTTCTGAATCAAAAATGCCCAAAATATTGAAAAATGTTCATAGTAATGAGGTAAAACCTTGAATCTTAGCTTCATCTTATTTTAAAATTTTCATTTTGTTCCCAGTTTTAAGGGGTTGGTGGTGGATCTGGAGGATGGAAACATTGTGAAGTTGGCTGAAGATGGCACTGTTTTAAGGTATGCTTATTTGTCATAAAATGTATGCATAGATCCAAGTCAATTTTGAAAAGTATTTCTGGATGTTTCTTGCTTGAATAGGGCAACACATGGAACCAACAACCTCAGCACAGAAGAACTCATGAAACATTATGGGCCAAAACGGGAGTGGAAGCACTTCAACAGCCTAAACACATCCTTCACAAGATCAGGTGGGATGGTTATGTCGTAATTTATCTTTGAAAGAAGTTCCGTCCATATGTGACCCACATCTTTCCTATCAGCTTTCCTATCTTTCAACTCAATCATAGACTATTCTGCTTCCACAAGCTTGTCTTCTACCAAACCAGGAGATGCTGCTGCTCCATTTCCTCCCACTTACACTTTTTTGCGTCTAGAAGTCAGGAGACTGAGCCAGAATAAGTCTGCAGTCCTGAAGGTCTGTCCAGAGCAGCTCTATGGGACTATGCAGTACCTCTTCATACATCACCTCAGCTTAACCTAAAACAAGATTTTGGTGTTGTGGAAGACAACCTGCCTAGTACCAGTATGGAAGAAAACTCATCCATCAGTCATCAATGACTATACACCTGTTGCCTTGACATCCTACATTAAGAAGGTCCTGGAGAGACTCCTGTTGGCCCACCTGAGTAAGCAGGAAAGCACATTTCAGGACCCCTGCAGTTTGGATATTGTTGTGGCTTTGGAGTCGAAGACACTATCATGCACCTGCTTCAAGAAACTCACTGTCATTTGGGCAAAGCAGGCAGCACTGTGAGCATCATGTTCTTTGATTTCGCTAGTGCATTTAACACAATTCAGCCTGATCTGCTCTGTGAGAAACCTCAACAATCAAGACCTCAAAACCTCAACAATCTATGACTACCTCATAAAGAGACCAAAGATTGTGAGACCGAAGGACTGTGTATCTAGCCAGGTGGTCTGCAACACAGGAGCACTAGAGGGCACTGTGCTCTCTCAATTCATTTTCACTTGAGACTTCCAGCACAGCCCAATTCAGATGACTCTGCAGTTGTCGGTTGTATCAGAGATGGACAAGAAGCTGAGTGGACCACTTTGTGTCATGGTGTGGGAACAATAGTCTTGTCTTGAATGTCAAAAAACAAAGATTGTAGATTTCAGGAGAGACAGGTCTGGATCAAACCCTATTTCCGTCATGGGAGAAGAAGTGGAGGTAATTGAGGAATCTAAATACTTGGGAGTTCATCTGGACAACAAACTGGACTGGCAACAATGAGCCATTGATAAGAAGGGACAAATGAGACTTTACTTCTTGAGGAAGCTAAGATCCTTCAAGGTTTGCTGCAAGATGCTGCAGATGTTCTATCAGTCTGTTGTTGAAAGCATCATGTCTTCATCTGTTGGGGCAACAGCATCAGAACCAGGGACCTCAAAAGGCTTAACAACCTGATAAAAAGACTGGTTCTGTTCTGGGGACAGATGTAGTACCTGTGGTGATAACTATGCACAGAAGGATTCTTCATAAATTAAAGAAAATTATAGACACCTCTGACCATCCTCTTCATGAGACTGTCTTGACAAAACAGAATGTCTTCAGTTAGAGGCTTCTTCAAATTACCAATAATAAAGACTGCTACAAGATATCTTTCGTGCCAACACCTGTGACTATCTAAAATAACTCTGAAGAATTTGAATTGATTTGACTTACAACAACATTTACCCCTTTGAGGTAAAGTATTTTTGAATGAATTTGAATTGAATAAGTTTAACTCTTATGTGTATTTTTTGCAGCAAAATACTACTTCTATGACAATTACTTTGATCTTCCGGGGGCTCTGCTCTGTGGAAAAGTTGTGGACATGTTACACAAGGTAATATGTGTTTTATTAACTATAGGGATATATATCTGTAGATCCATTTTTAAAGAACAAATCTGAATAGTTTTGTTTCAAACCCAATTTTTTTCCCATTTTTAACAGCGGGGAAATGAGGTGAACTCCAACTTTTGGAAAGACATGTTGGCTGCCATTGACCACAATTACAATACAGCTGCATTCAAAGGTACCCAGTTTATCTTAAATATACTCATAGTTCAGTTAATGATTTTGACAAAAGATGAAACAAACTCAAAGATATTTTTCAAGATCTTACTTTTATTCCATGTTTTTCTCAGTAAATGGTACATAACTTAGCACATCCAATGGAATATAGTTAAAAAAAAAACAGTTTGAAATTCTCCTCCAATGTTCTGTTTGTAGTCACAGTGCTGGTGTAAATGTGCTGATCCTTTATAACATATATTAGATCAGTTTTGCATATTTTTGTTTGTAAATTTAAAGAAAATCCTTAAACAAACAAGAATAAAAAACAAACACAAATAAAAAAGTATCTGTAAATGTTCCAGGTAACTGTAGAGCACCACTTAAGAAATCTTCCAATATCATTCTATGTTTTTGTTTAATTTGTAAGGGATAGAGTGAATGGGGAACAAGGATAAATTTGAGGTGTACGTCTTTCAGAAAAATGGTTTCTTGATTCATTGAGTAATTTCAACCCTTGTCACTTTGAGTGAGGTTGGTAAATGATAAAACAGATTCACAATCTTTATTTCAATTTGTGTAAATTAATCTATTTGTCTGAGCAGTTTAATGTTTTGTGTAAGGTTTTGAGGTTTACAGGGATTCATTAAATCACGTTGAGGCAATCAAGAACCCAGAGAACCCACAGTGAACATTGTCAGCAGCAAATATACCATTGCTTTCCTCATCGGGAACTTGGACATAGACTCTGTCCCCTGGGTGCAGCATAAAAACAGCACTGCCTGCCATCTGATCCAAGAAGCCCTTGTTGTATTCATCATAGATGAAAACCGTTGGCTCCTCATTTTTGTAGAGGGCCACCAATGCATTTGCACCATTGACATGCACGTGGAAGCTAAAATAGTAAAGACCTGGGATCTGACAGGTGAACACACCACTGTGGGGATCATAGTGGTTCTCTCCATTGTAAAGAACCTGGTTGAAAGCAATAGGAGTTCCAGCAGGGGGGTAAGCCATGGTCAGCACAGCACTAAAGGCAGACATAGGAGCCTTCATCACTTCATGAGGCATCACAACCTCATGGGACTTGATTGGCATGCTCTTTTCATGGTGGTAGACCATCTCTCCTGGGGGACCAGGTGGACCAGGAGGACCAGCAGGACCAGGGAGACCATCATGGCCTCTCTGACCTGGAGGTCCTGGGGGACCCATAGGACCAGAAATTCCCTTAGCTGTCAGGCCTGCTGGACCAGGTGGACCTGGGAGACCAGGGTGTCCCTTAAGTCCAGGGGGGCCTGATGGACCAGGGGGGCCAACTGGTCCTGATTCTCCTGGCAGTCCAGGTTCACCGCTTTTACCTGGTGCTCCTGGGGCCCCTGTGTGTCCTTTAAGTCCAGGTGCACCATTTGCACCAGGACTTCCTGGAGGTCCACCATGGCCTTGTGAACCCTTTGGACCCTGCGCTCCATTATGGCCTGGAACTCCTGGGGGACCTACTGCACCAGGAACACCTGGTTTTCCAGTAAACCCTTGTGCTCCCTGCTCACCCTTGGATCCTCTTGGGCCTGGTGCACCAACCATACCAATATCACCCTTGGGTCCTACTGGGCCTGACTCACCCTGAAATCCTCTTGCACCCTGTGGACCAGCTGGGCCTATAGGACCGGGACCACCTGGTTGACCAGTGAATCCAGTTGGGCCTGGCTCTCCTTTCTGACCAGTGGTTCCTGGACTTCCTGGAGCTCCTCTGGATCCTGGTATTCCAGGTTCACCAGTCTTACCAACACCTGGCATGCCAGGGGAGCCTGGTTGACCAGCAGGTCCCTGTGGACCTTTGGGTCCCATAGGCCCTGGTGTACCTGGGGTACCATTCTGGCCTGGTTTTCCTGGTGCTCCTACACCTGGAGGTCCAGTATGACCCTTAAGACCTGGCAAACCCATTGGCCCAGGGGCACCATCCCTTCCTGGTGTTCCAGCCTTACCAGGTTCTCCCGGATAGCCAGGGGAACCAGGCTGGCCAACTCCAGGTTTGCCAGGCATGCCAGATGGGCCCATTGGCCCAGTTCCACCTGGTGGACCCTGGACTCCAGGAACACCAATGCCTCTCTCTCCTTTTGGACCAGGAAGACCAGGGATACCAGGATGCCCCTTCAAACCAGGTTCTCCTCTGTGACCCATTGGACCCGGAAGCCCTGCTGGTCCAGGTTTTCCAGTTGCTGAAAGTCCAGCAGGTCCAGGGGTTCCAGGTGTACCGGGGGAACCTCTTGGTCCCATTGGTCCAGTTGCACCGTTTAATCCTCTTTCACCAGGTGCACCAGGGATTCCGGGTTTTCCAGGAGCACCTGGGGTACCAGGTTTGCCAGCCTGAGAGAGGCCAGGGACTCCAGGTGGTCCTGGTGGGCCCCGAGGTCCAGTGTGTCCAACACCCCTTTCTCCAGGAGGTCCAGATGGTCCCATTGGTCCTGGCTCACCTGGGGGTCCTGGAGGACCTTGTGGTCCTGCAACAGCTAAATAATAGAAGAAAAACAACAAAGCATTAGTCTGGTGGTACAGCAGTCCTTCCTGTTCTTATCCTCTGAATATTTTGTGCAATATTTCATTGCACAAAATAAAAATGGTAATTAAAGCATCACCAAGCACTTTATCCAAGGAATTAATCAGGTCAAATGCAGATATATTTTGCGGGTGTTTTCATATGTCGAAACCTTTGACTTTTTGTGAAAGATGTAAAATACAACTACGACACATTTTGAGCAAAACACCATTCCCTATGATTATGGAGTGAGTTGTGATGATGCCTGTGTTTTTTACCTATCCCACCACCTTCTAAGAAATCTGGTATGTACACACCACCAGCTCACATGTTCTTGTCTATCGCACATCCATGTGCCTGCACTGTAGTGCACTTTCATTTTTTACACTGAAAATATATCTATTTTTCCTCATCACCAGCATCACTAAGCTCACACATCTAATATTGTCCTCTAAATTGTTTACCATAAAACTGAAAATCATAATGTGACAGATTTTATTCTCTTTCTATTTTCTGTTTAAATATATGAGCTCAGTTTCTAAACAAGTGAGATATTGGGAGCTAAAGATAAAAAGTACCCAATTAATCCTGTGCATTGATTAATTAAAATTAAAATAAAATATTTTAACCCTTTAATATATAAATAGTTATCAAAGAATTAAGTGTTTATTGAATTAAAAGGGGAATGCCCTACTCTGACATTAAAACTACTATGTCAGTAAGCTTTTAGATTTGGATAGGTAACAGTCTGCATTCGTGAAAACTGTTAAAATATTCTATTTATCAATTAATCAGAATTGGCAGAACAGGGTTTATCATTGTGGTAAAGAGTGTTTTGAAACAGTGTTTAGTGAAGAAATCACTCTGACAGGGCTGTCATTTTCCAGCCACATGACGACTGCTGCCTGAATCCTCTCAGAGGATTATGCCAGAAGAGTTCTTGGGAGGCAGTAATACCACAAACTGAAGGTGATGATACTGGCCCCAGTGGCTGACCTGGACTTGGAACTTTTCTGACTTGGGATCAATGACTACTCTCCTGTGTACTTTATGTCAGGCCTTTATGTCTCAGTTGATCTGGCATAATTGCAAACAATTTTGATTTAAAACAAGATGAAACATGTATTACACTCAACTTATGAGATAATTTCTTTAAGTTTGTGCCGGGATTTGGAGACCATGAGACTTTTGGGTGGAGCAGGCCTGCATCTGTTTTGTCGATTGGTCTAGTCCAAGCCCTCATGCTTTATTTGCAGTTATGTTCTTCTAGAGACTTACAGTCAAACCACATCAACAGCTCTGTAAGTGCTGAGCACATCTTTTTAATCATTAACTTGAGTAATAAAATGTATTATTAGACATTTAACAAGCAGTTGCGTCATAGTGACTGATGCTTTATTCTTTTGTTCTTTATTTTATAGCTTTACCAAAAATGACAGCTCCCTTGTTGTTAGTCTTTTTATTCTTAGCACAAAAGCTTTCTGACAGTCTTAGCCCACCTCGCAGGTGTATCATAGGAGATGAGTTGACCTGCTCGGTGGGCCTTAATAACGCACAGACATGTAAGAGCCAACAGTTTGACTCAGTATGAATAGGAGGTGTTTTACTGAAAGCTAATTGTGCTAAGGGTGATGGTATTAATGAGGATAAGGATTTAATTTTACAGCTTACTGAGAACTTCTATGGAGGAGAAGTACTTTGTCTGGGTTTGGTTGGGTTATTTAGGAGATTTAGAAGAGTTTAAGAAGTTAGGATCTGAATTACACTACATTTTAAGTCGCATTAATGTAGCTGCACTGATTAGTCCAGCCATAAGGTGTTTTCATAAAGATCTAGTGGACTACTTGGGTTTTGGTCTTCCATGCTTGTAGTGGAGAGAAGAAGCTCAAGTTCTTCAGTGAACTTTCTGAAGACATGTTTAGAACTACGTGCTCAGACGTTTGTCATTCCTAACTTTTCACTTCTTAGTGGTTCTACTTGATTGCATGTGCCAGACCCAGCATGGAGTAGATGGAGCCTGAAAACAGCTCAGAGTCACTTGCATTGTCCACTAAGCTTGACCTGAGATGACTCATCGATGAACCTTTCTTTTGCAACAGACTTATTAATTTTTTGATTGTAGCAATATCATAGCAATACCATCCACCCAGCAGCCATTTCAAGCATTACAGTGTGATAAACAGTGCAAGGGTAATAAAAGTGCAAGATTTGAAGTAACTCACAGTGACTCTTGACAGGGTAGGGGACCTTTGTCACTTTTGGCGCATAGTATCTTTCGGGGGTCCCCTCGGCCAAGGCCAGGAGGACGAAAAGGAGGCTTGTTACCCTCAAGTCCATCTTGTGAAGCTAAACCTGAACATACAAACAGGAGAGAAAGTAAACAAATTAGAGGTGTGTTAATTTCTGCTGCATCTTTCATGTTTTATGTCATTCAGCATAAATGGACTAACAACTTGTAACAGAAGTGTTGAAGATGTTCCCCAAACAAT